ACTTAGTATTATCGTACTTCATCGATTCTATACTGCATGGGACAAAGCAGAGAAAAAAAAGGATTTTAAGGATTTAAATTTAGTTAGATTTTCCAGCATTAAAAAAAGTAAAGTTCGTTATTTCTTTTTAAATCGGGTGGTAAATCAAAAAAGAAAGTGTGGTAAATCAGGCTTACTGTACTTTAATAACCAAATCGATTTCAATCTAGATTTACACTCAGTTTGACAAATTCTGTTGCCCAATCGAATATTTTTAGAATAATTTAGCATTTTTGTAGTTTGTGTTGGTAGCCATTTATACGAGGATCATTACTTATTTTTTGAGCCTAATAATGAAAAAATATTAACTTGTCATTAAAAATTGCTTTATTGTTTCACAAAGTATTCTCCTTTATGATTAATACTCGTACTCTTTTGCATACAATCCAACCATTTGTCAAAGCATCTTTTCCAATATTCTTCAAACACCTCAAAAACATGGTTTTCAAATGCCACAATGGCTTCTTTCGCCGTTTTCCACAAAAATTCGTTGTCCACGTTCGTTCTTGACGTCCGGGAACAAGAAGAAGTCATTGGACTGTATGAACACATCAGGACTGTGTGGCCAAATCAGGACTGTATGATGGATAACCCACCAATACGATTTTCTGAATGTTTATATAGTCGATTATTAGACGAAATGTGTGAGCACTCGCTTTGTTTTGATGGAGAATGATCCGTCAACACTTGTTTGTTTTCTGTATTTCACTGAAGAGTCCGGTTGGTTGTAACAAATGGCTTTATACCATTTGGAATTGACCGTTTTACGTTCCTGTAATAGTATCCATATAGTTACCATATGACTGAAAAATTAAGCGACCATTTGTTTTGAAGTACTTCGAGCGCAAACAACTTTTGTTGGATTTGGTTCATTTAAAAAACCCATACATTCGACAGCAGTTTGAGTTCCGGTTCGTACGCATATATTTATAATTCATCACCTGTTACAATCCGGTATACGTCATTGTACTTCTTGAGCATTTGACAAAAAGTCTAAAGTAGGTTATGTTTAATAATGTCAAAATTTCGTATAGAAGGCCCAAAATATGAATTGTGAGCTCCCTATTTCCCGTAAATATATATATCAAATCACACTTTACCTCTCAAGTCATATAAAATAGCGCTGAATAACTAGATAATTTTTCTACCTTCACAAAATATTCGTACTGTTTTAAATTAATATCGAGTGTTACACATTTTGCTCGAGTTTTACCAATCGAAAATGAGAACTGCACTAGAATTTAATCTGGATTCAAAAAATTTACCACAGATTTATTAATCGAAGACGGCAATAGTAAGGCATCAGGCTGCTACACTACTTAGTTTGTGTTTTCCAATTGAATGTTCTAAACATATTTTAGTATGTTTGATTAGAGTATGTCATAAGCTTATAAATCCCTATAAGGAAATTCAAACAATCAAAACCTTAATTTTTGAACTAATCACACTTTTTATAAAAATATTAATATTTTAAGTTTAACACAATAGGCCACTTAGTCTTAGTGTATACTAAGGATTGCCGGTACAACCTAACCTTTGATTTACCAAGTGAATATATTAAATGAAATTTGAAAAAAATGGAATATCAACTCTAGATCTGCATAATCATGGGTTCAGAGCTTCGTCAATTTGACCATCACCTTCATTTAAATATCCCTGCCAATTTTTCATGTTACTTTAAGATCCAACAACTGCTAGAAGTAGATGCTTTTTGTTCAACCCAGGCACACCAAAGGCTCCCCTCACACTCCCCGACCATCCCCAGACACTTTATTTAAGAATAATAGTACTACTAAGAAAGTGATTTTACTTAGACATCATTCTTCTACCAAATGTATTTTTAATCTAAGAATGCAATCCATCACTGCAAAAATGGCCATATAATAATATTTGTTCTTGTATTTCCAATATAAAATTGATTTTCACGAATAATTTCTGTTAAGTATTACTTGAATTTAACATTTACCATTATATCACAAAATAATATTAATAAATACATTAATACATTAATTAGTTATAGATAATTTGAAACCAATCACCACACTTAAAGTGCATTCATATAATTAATTTTTTTATCACAATGTAGATATAATTATTTAAAATGCATCTCAATAAGTTTTTGATTGTAATTTGCGTGCGGAATATTTACCTCATGTAGTTCTGCGGATTGATATTTGTAAACAATATAAATTTCTCATTAAACACAAGATACATATTTACTCAAATATAAAACCACAACATATCACAATAGAATTTGTAAATAAAAGGGATTTTCCACTTCAATTAAAAATAAGAAAATTAGTTATTTGTAGTGAATATTTACTAAATAACAAAAAAACTTTATTTGATTTGAAATGATCAGATTTAGGGAATAATAAAATGAGTAAATAGATTTGTGGTCTATTAAAACCAATGCTACAAATTCGTATGAACAGGTTCTAGGAATAATCCTAAAATTTTTTTATTAATTGCAGTGTTTTGGTAATAATACAGTTGCACGGTTCAAATGCATCCAAACATCCGTACTTGATTATTAAATCATAATCAATCATAATTAATTATTATTGACTTCCTAAATTATATATATCTGGTCGATGTATATAATTTTATATATCCATATCCATGGATATGGATATCAGATATATGTTTTCGTCACTGTTTTTTTCTCTTAAACGAAACTAAACGAAACTATAGATTAAATCTATTTAGAAGTAGTGGTAATCACTCTTCTAACTATTGTCTGTTAGGTATTAGAGATATCTGTATAAAATATATATCATGAATATGCAATTTTGCTTCAACAGGGCATTCAATGGCATCAATTCTTATTTGACAAAATGACAAAAGGACACTTTTTACAAGAAATGTTATATATTATACTTTCCAAAATAAATTAAAAAATAGTTACATTAATTATTGAACTTAAACCAAATTCTGGATTGGACTGTTTACTTGGGCAACATGTTCCCATCGGACCAAACAGAACTATAATCATATAGTGAATATCTTTAATAATACGCAAGGTGGCAAAAAATTAAAAAACATAAAAATTGAATAAACCATTTGGAACTCATAAAGACAGAATCTGGACCAACCATTCAATTTTGTGGATCGAAGCTCTAAGTCGAAATCAACAAACCTTCAATTATGATTGTGTAATACATTATTACCGAAAACTCCACTACTGATAAAATTTTATAATAATTGTTCTGGTTTTAATTGTAGGTGCGAACCAACAAGACATTTTTGAAGAGAACTTGTTAGAACACGTAAAATTTTCTAAAAGACTAAATGCTTAACTAATTTAAGCCTTATAAACAAAACTGAGACTTCATGCTGCCAACAAACTTTCAATATAACATTAATAACAGGTTAGTATCAGAAAAATATCAACATCCAGACGAAAAAGGGGTTAGCATGTTAAAGTTGCGCACAACCCCAAGCTGTTGATGTTTGTTACAACAAAAAAAAGGTGAGTGTTAATGAGAGGTCACTGAAGATTATGCCTCGAAGATGAGGAAACTGCTACGCATATTCTTTGTGACTGTCCAGCTTTAACAAAGCACAGAAGAAACTAATTCCATATGGGATTTCGGTCACCAGAACAGTTCAGGAACTCTTCTCTAGATTTAGTTCTGGACATTGTTCACAAAAGTTTAAATGGCTTTTTAAAATCAATAGTAAAATTAACACAATAGGCCTCTTCTGGCCGCAATACCGGCCATTGGATGGAATCATCGAGAGGGCAATCTATAAAACTCCCGCATATCAGTTTTTGCCAAACGTAGTATTAAAAAAAGGAAAGAAATCAGCAATCTACTGATTGAACTCTGTCAGTGTGGCTTCAGAGATAGTAAAATCAAATTAGCAAGAAGAAGCAATCTTTATGGCGCTAATTCTGTATTTGGTATCCCAGTTAAAATTATACAGTTATATAGAATAACGTTTAGAAGTTCTTCCAGTTCTCTTTTAATAGGAAATAACCTCTTAGAGCCGTTTGTTAACAAACTATGTTTGAAGATAAAACCAGTCGTTTGATTTCTTTAATATTATGTACATTGGAAACAATGTTTGGGTGCCAAATTTGAGCTATACTGTCCCAATATTTGACAATAATATCACGCTCCTTGCGTATTGCTATAATAATATTATTGGACTGAACATTCGAGCATCTAGTGTGGTTTTTTTCAATTTAGAAAACCAAACAAAACAAATGAATAAAGTTATTAATGAGGGAAAACCAAAGTATATTCTGTAAGGAACCAAATCTCTTAAGCATATTTGAACCTACGTCACTATAAACAATAATCAGTTCCTAGTTGTGAAAGACTTCGTTTATCAGCGAACCAGCACAAACACCAACGATGATGTCAACCTAGAGATTCAATACTCTACATTGACTCTACATTGACTTACTTCGGTTTAAGTAGATAATCCTCAATTATCTACAATTATCTAGCTCTCTTCCGCCAAAAACAGTCACATATTATACGTCTCTTATAATGTCTGTTCAACAATAACTAACAGTGATGAGAATTCTTAGGGTGAAATCGAGAGAAAAACTATTCAGAAAATCCATGATCCCGTATGCGTTGATAACAAATATCAAATAAGATGGAATTATGATGGAATTAGTGGCTTCAGGAGTTTATTTATATCGTATGGATGAAATGGATGAAAATGCTTCAGCTGGAAAATTGCTTGATTCGGCACCCGCTGTTGGAAAACCCGCTGCTCGACGGAAGTATTAAGTGACCAGCGATATAAACAATTTCGGAGGTGCCAACAGGTGGCAGAAATACACAGATTGGGCTGCCTTAAAAAGACCTTTGCCACATCCATGTTTGTTATAAGCGACTAAGTGATCAAGTAATAAGTAGATTTTTTTAAATTTCAATAAAACTAAACAAGTAACCTTAATTTTAAACTAAAGTAAATAAAATATTATTTTGAAAATTCATTTTTAGTTCAAAATTTTATAAATTATCAGATTTTCTCCGGACACATCTTCTTTTACATATATTCCCGTACAAAATTCATCAGAACACGAAAACAATGGCAATCTCGAGCAAAACTTTAGAAGAACTGATAACCGGTATAAGAGAAATTTTTAATTCTGAAGACATAAATGTGGACTTGTATATGTCACTACAAAATAAGGTCTACACTATGTTCAAAACGGATATGAGTTGGAATGCTGAAGAGATTAATGCCAGTAGCAGATTCGTTTACATGTGCCGTAGAATTTATGCACACGTTATCGAATTTCTAAAAGATTATGTACGTGAAAAATATCATATCGACTACACCATTAGGAGTGATGAAGAGTATCTTGCAAACTATACTGAAGAAGTCTACAAGTTTAAACGAAACAGTAAAATACTTGAAGGTATTTGTGCACCCGTGCATTTCTATTGGATGAATAGTGTCGAGAAGCAGTTGAAGAAAAAACCACTGAATATGTATGATATAGCATTGAGTATATGGGATAACGGTATTCTGCATCGCTCGTTTCCCATTCTCAACGAGACAATCCTTAATTTAATCACTATGGATCGATCAGGTGACACAATAGATAAGGATTTACTACGAAATGGAATTTTGTCTTATACTGAACAAACGCAGGGAGAAAAAACTCAATCAGACTTCACCATTAGTCCATATAAAAAACAATTTATCAAGCAGTTCTTGAAAAAGACAATGTATTTTTATACACAACTCGCTAACGATAATATAACGAAGTACTGCTTACGTGATTATGTGCTCTTTGTACGGAAACGCATTAATGAGGAACGTGACCGTATGTTGGCTTTATGTTTACCAGTTAACTGGAACTTAGTCGAGCAAGTTGATGAAATCTGTGAAGAAGTAAGTCACTCGATTAGCAGTCACTTAATAATGTTATAATATATTTTATTTCCAGGCTTTAATTGCACAAAAATTTGAATATCTCTCCAAAGAATTTATGCAATTATTAAGATCTGGTAATGGTAAAGACGCTGAAGTGGCCTATAATTTCTTCAAGGACTTTCACTATAATTCGGATGCTGCCAATATTTTTAAGCGATGCGTAAATAGTGAGGGCTACAATGCTATCCGAAATTGTGATGTCAAAAATTGTGGTAAGAAACCTGCATGTAAATATGCTGAAGTTGTTGCTGAAGTTTTAAACAAATACAATGACTTCGTAATGGCACATTTTCCTATCGATCAAGACATGGTACGTGCTCTATCCAACGCAACCAAGAAGTTTTTTAACCATAACATTTTTACTGTCGCTAAGTGTAAGAATCCAGATTTGATCAATTTTAACGAGTATCGTTGTAGTTTGGAAGAGTGCTATGAGTTGGTTTACCTAGAGAAAGTGGAGAATGGTGAATGAAAATAGAAAATCATATTTATATTTTTAAAAATTTTAAGTAAATTCATAAAAAATTAAATTATTTAATAATTAGAAATTGTTGTTTACACCAAAAACTACGATTTATTTCACAGGGAATTCTTGCTATATGGTAAACAACACTCTATAGATCGGTTACAATAATATATAATGAGTAAATCGAAAAGATTTATTATTTATAATGACTACAGAATAGATTTATCATAGATTTATGATGCTTTATTAAAGTATACAGATCGTTAATATAAATTTGGTGGGAATGTGAACAAATAATAAATATATAGTACCACACATATATATAATACCGAGTATTACATATGGATAACCATAATAAACTACTCGACAGTACATGTAGTCGAATAAAATATACTTCGGTATCCCCCAACATATAAAGAGCAGCAATAAATACTTGAATCTGGGAGCCAAATTATAGTCTAGCAACATGTTCTTTCAGACTGACTAATTCTGTACAATAAAAACAATTTATTTGCTTAGAATTTGACATTATTTCCAAATGCATATTCCATATGTTCTTTTAACTATATCTGATTTATATCCGTGGAATTGTAATATTTGTACACTTTTTCCATAAAATAAATTGTCATAACCTATAAAAATTACGCACATCACCTTTCCCAAATCTGGTTTTCTGGAGCATGCTTTTGAGGTTCGCTAGCAATTAGTATAATAAAAGATGTGGACAGTAATTTTTTGTGCAGTTCTTATGTTTAAGCAGCTATAATTGTATGCTTGTAACAATAATTCATATTTAATTGTAATCATCGCATCATTTTCAGGCATAAACAATTCTCTAAGGCTACCTAATGGGGCCACAGTTTTTGAGGCTTAAATTTTTGCATTTAGGAAAACATGTCTCAAATTACAAATCACATCAACAACCAGGCAGTACTCAAAGCCCTTGAATTCCTTATCACAAAATCAAAGATAGTAAGAGAATGTAGGGAGATTAAATTGAACTGATCGAAGAGCTAAACCGGTTGGATAACATCATCTTTATCTGGGTCTCTGAACATAAGAACATCGTAGAGAACGTTAAAGCCGACAGTTAAGTCCGCTTTGGTGCTTGTCTAGATACGACTCTAGCGATATCGGTTTATGTTATCTTAGAGACTTTTAAGAAATATACTAAGAGAAGCATTTTTTCCTTTCCAATAACAACTTTGCGGTTAACCAGGCTCTTTCTGTTCATGGGTGTATAGGAACCCACGCAGAGAAACTATGCATTCCTCATAATTCTCACTATAGAAATTGTGGAATACTGCTGGAAAAATATGACATTAAACACAAAATAACGTATAATAAAATGATTAAATTACTTATCCCGTAATAATAGCTCGTAACAATATTAATAAACAATTAAATAATTTAAGCTAATATTTCAGTGCTATATATAATACATTAGAGTAAAAATAAGTTAGCGGTAAAAACCAACTCAATTACTATGATTAAAGACAATTAATTTTAACTCAACTGTACTTCAGATTAAATCCACTGTTGATATAATTTGAAACTGTAATAACTAAATAGCTTGTACTCGTACTCCGCAAAGTCGTATTTGAATTATTGATAATTCATTCATAAATATCTATTTACTTTCAATGAAGTGCAAACCTTACTTAATAAGTTACGATTAATGAATAGTTCAATACCGCACTTCGTACATTTGAAGCACCTAACCAATTTAATTCATTAAACCCATACCATAAAACTAATGAAGTAACTGTATTTCACTCAGTCCGTTTTCATGTTGCACATACGAAATATTCTATTGCATTGTTAATTCTACATAAATTAATTAGTCATGCTATATAAGAGATTCATTGATTTCTCCCATATGACAACGTCAAACTTCAGTGCACTTGCCAAAACCCTATATAAAATGATAATCAAGTCTGTGAAAGGAGTGCATTAGTTGTGCAATTTTGTGTTTAACATTCGTCCATTACGGAACATTATCAATTATTTTGCTACAAAATGGAAATTTAATTAGGGATCCTTACAGGTACTTGAAATGAAGCACTTGAGGAAGCTAGTTCAATTGTATTTAATGTAGGAGTGGTGTATAACCTCTCCTCTAATACAGACTAATAAATACTTCTAAAAGTCGTTTGTATTGTCTTTCACTGTATTGTATTATAGTACAAAAACCAAAGAAACGTCATTTATTTATAAGGTCTATCTAAAGTTTTAAATAATTATTGATTAATAGTAAAATTTAAGGTATAAGTATAAACTTCAAATTCTAATAACCCTTTTACCATAATCGTAGAAATACAGGGTTGCTCAATAAAATTGTAACCATTTTCGCAACGATCTTATTGTCAAACCAATAATGACAGAAAACACAGAATTTACTCATTTGACAGTTCATGCATTTTGATTTTTGTGACTATCGCATTTCATTGGCTTATTACTTGTCTCGCACACCCATCAAACTCGTTGGCCATATTCTTAATATCCTTGTCTATTCCTGGCCAATATATAAAAGAACGAGCAACGCCCATCATCTTTACCATTCCTAAATGTGATGTGTGTAGGTTCTCTAGTAATTTTTCTCGATAATGTGGAGGAATAACAACCCGGTGTTCGAAAGTCAAGCACCCTGATGATAACACGTGCCTCACTTTTGCCGATTTGTAGCCTTCTCTCTTTAAACAGCGGCCACTTTCCAGTAATCTGATTATCTTGTCGAGATGCTTATCCTTTCTAGTTTCCATTGCAATACGTTAAGTAGGCAACTGATTTATCTGGAAGTGACTTGCTAGGTTGAAGAATCTGTGATAACGGCTTATGATCCGTGATCAATATTCAATGACGAGCAGTAAGTATTTGAAAGATTTTTGCACTACCCACACAATTGCTAGTACCTCTTTATCAATTTGTGTATATCGCTGTTTCGTAGCAGTCATCGTTCGACTTCCATAACTTATTGGTGGCTTCTGAACGATGTGATGTTGCTAACATTACCGGTAGTGACGGATCATACGGAATTAATAATTATGTTGAAGCTATTTGAGTCAGTGCACTTGAGCACTTTTACTTTCTATTAACTCGAAGTAACTTCAAAACTATTCTTTACGCCTTGCCATACACAACAGTTTATATGTTCAAATATCTATAAAAGTTATATAAAGTACTGAAATAAAATAAACAATAATTCAATTTTAAAGTTAGTCTAAACCGTGAAAATACATAAGGAACTTCGCATACTAAGAAACGAATTAGACGCTTAAGCTACATATACGTTTAAACATACATATATATCCATATTATGTATATGGATATGGATATATATATACCATATATATCCATACACTTATATAATAATACATAAATAACGATAAGCTACAATGTTTATAAAAATCACATTATAAATTTTATCTGCTGTTTAATTACTTCGCTTGATGATAAATATTATATAAATTGTCATTACCGCATACACCTCTGTATATCCACTCAGAAAATAAAAAATTCTAATCAGTATTATAAAAATTATAGCTGGCAACATCACTACATAGAAATTCTTGCCGCGTTCCGAATAACTGTTTAATTTGCAAAGCGTGCGTCAACTTTCGGTATAAATTTTTATAAAATATAGTTAATCAATATATAAATATAATACCAGGGTATCGCAACACAAATATCTACAACGATATTGATGTTCACTATGGCTGTTAAAGAATTTGCGGTCGGATATAAGGAACTTATACACAGTTGTGGTACAAATGCCATTGGAATTCAAACTTCCGAAGGTAAATTAGCTATATTTTAAATGCAAATATATTTAATATTCCAATATATTAAATCACAAAGGCGTTATATTAGCCATCGAAAAAGGTCTAACCTATGTTGTTGACATACCATCCAAAAGCAAGGAGGTTTGGAAAATCGGAAAACCACAAATGTGCGTTGCAAGTGGACCATGTAACGAAATTCCCGAAATGGTGAATTACGCTCGTTCCAAGTACGACCAGACTGAATCCAATCGTTTATTTGCAAGAACCTTATACGTTAACAGTTTAATAAGTAGAAGTAATGTTTGTCTGCTACTGGCTGGTTTAAGCTTGGGGATTAAATGCGAGTTGTGGTGTGTTAATATCCAGGGTATGCGTAGAATTTCTACATACATTGCAATTGGACCAGGTCAAAGACAAAACAATATGTTCCTATATGCAAAATATAAACCCGGATTGACATTAGATGAGGGGCTCAATCTAGCCCTCCTGGCATTGCAGCACACAATGAAGAAAAAGTTCAAGTCCTATAATATTGGTTTGGCCCAAATTACAAAAAATGATTTGATTTACATTCATAGTTATGTGGATATTGAACACCTACTTGAAAGACTGAAAATTAATGTTAAAAATTCTTAATTATAAATCTTGTTATAATATTGAATAAAATATTTATTATTACTATTAATATATAAAAAAATTGTATTTTTAATACGATATTTAAAAAAATCGTTATTGTGTTTTCTTTGATAAGTAGTCATCAGAGTGTGTAAGTGAAAACGAGAGAAAACTCTTGCTCCGTAGAATCTTATGAAATAAGTTTAAAAGAGAAAAAGCATTATTCTTTAGGCTTGGAAGTATTCCTTTTAAATGGAATTTCCTTTAATCCAGACTAAACTAATTCTGTTTCAGAAAGAATGTCTCAAATTTCTATGTTACTCTACGAACGTATAATTAGAGCAATAACAATAAAACAATGTGAGTAATGAAGAAGAGAAAAAAATTGCTAGCGTTGAGTGTGCAGTGAGTGCAAGAGAGAAAGCTGATTTTAGATGGAAAATGTAATAGAAGTTGCTGTTAGCAAGCGATTGGATGTTGAGTATAAACTATAAGTTGCCAAATATTGGGTTTATGGGAATGGGAAGTTTAAAATTTTTTTTTGTGATATTTTTTGTGGAGAATAACAACGTTTATAGTATCGTATTCTCTCGACATAAAGAAACGTGATTTGCTACATTGGACTCGCTTCACTAAAAATTACTTCACTTTATCTTCAACGAATTTTGTCAATGAAGTTATACACAAATGTTTTAAAATTTTTTGGGAGTTAAGCAAACATAATTAAGATGGATTTCAGAATACTCATCCCAGTGACCACTACCAGCGTCTTTCTTTCAATTTAATTGCTGACAGTAGAAACGAGACGATGACTACTTAGAAGTGAAAAAATGAATGATATCCGTTTAGTAACAGCTAATATCAGTCTTTCTATCCTTGTCATCAAAACCGGTTTTGTCATCAATAGTTGAACCTTATGTTTTTTGAACTAGATTGATTTTAAACTAGATTCTTCATAGGCTTTTCATTAAAATCCACCTTTCATTTCATTCATTTCTACATTGATTCGCAGATGAATCATTGTAACCAGCTTGTTAATAATGGTTTGCAGCTGTACCATATATTCATCTTTATATTCATCTTCAGTTCACTTGCTCTATTGTGATAGTTCAGTTATAAAAAAATCGCTAACTCTAGCTTATTTTAATATTTCGGTTAAATGTAGATTAAAACAGAAAACACCTTTTATGTCAAAATATCTAGACCGACGTTAACGAAAACAGTTCGTGGCAAATGAAAGCGATAACTTCATCATAGATAACATTGCCATTTGTCCTATTAAGTCTTGTACCATACTAAGATTGTGATGTGATTGTAAACATCATTGACTAAAAGAACTTAAAATAGTTATCTGCGGCGATATAACACGGAGCTCTCATCTCTGTAAACTCTCATGATAGAATCTTAATCAGAAATATTTTCGCCAGTGTCAATTGAAGCTACGAGTTTGTTAATAACATAACATGATACTCCCTTAAGGAGCCAATCTATTGTCCATGACAACCAAAGTTGCAGGCATCTGGATACTGTGGTGTGTACCTTCTTTTCTAGTGATGTGTAATAAGTGAAAATCCAGTTGTTCTACAAAACAGAATCAAAATACCTAATGGATTTTATACGCCTTTAAAGATAGCCATGTCTTACCTCGGGATATTTGTAAACGCTATCATTAAAGTGTATAATGAGGGTTATTATTGTAAGAGTTATTGATCACATTTTCTGTATGAAAGTGTGCTTTGGGCTTACTTTTGGAGTCGTCATCTTGTGAGTAGTGTTTAGTTCTTATATAGGACAAAATATTTTTTGTTATAAGCTTTGTAATGCTAAGAATTTTAAAAAAAATACAACTAAAATGGAATTGAAAGGGTTGTATGACATGAGATTTTTCACAGTACTACTTATTTTCTGCACATTTAATATTTTCTATTTAATGATTTTTATTTCAGCATCTTTTCCTTCTATTAATAACTAATCCTGAATCATTGCTACCTAATAATCAACATTTACCATTAAGTATCCATTTTCTGGTATTTATTTTTTTTTGGATAAAAATAGCTTCTTCGGATATTTATATCCCAATAGCTTCTTACTTTATGACAGCTTTTCATAAACGAATATCATTAATCAAATGGTATAAAGGACACACAGGCTCACATAGATGCCAAAAGGATATCAAAAAATTTATTAAAGCAAATAATGTTAATGCAAGGATAAGAAAATATTGAGTAGAATGGGCGAGAAAATTCTATTGGTCGTAATTATGACATATCACATCCGCCATATCGTGCAAGTTATTTAGTAATAACACTTAAGATATTTAGAAATTTAATTAAAATTACGACAAAAATATATGATAAGTTATTTATATTTAAAATAAAATATGTTGGCTATATTTAATCATAATTTTTGTTTAAAATGGATTATTTTTGTTTATATTTTAAATAAAACATATAAAAATAAATATATAAAATAAATAAATTGACGGATATTTTATATACAAAATGACAATTCTTTTTTATAGGATTTAATTGTTTTTTTTTTTTATTTTCATGTTTTAATATGCCTTTACTTATAATAAATATACTGCTTGATTTTTTGAAGTTTGTCATTAAAAGTCGTATTTGCTATTAAAAATTGTTATTTATATATAAGTATAAATATAAATTTAACAGAATTAATTTTTCTTCTTTTTCTGAATCCATAACTCCATGTCTGAAATATTTTCACTGCTTGTAGGCTTAGTTAAGCTGTAACTTCTCTATTATATATTTAATTTTTCGGGAATCATCTGCAGCAGAAAATATGGAAGTCATAAATGTTATCCACATAAACATACAGTGGTTTAGGAAGCTTAAAAATAATAGACAGAAGACGATTAGAATAATTTTTCCAACCAAAAAAGCGGTTAAATTGGCAGTTGAAGAAAGAAGTTTTGGATAGAAAGCCAAAGTCTGTTAGACTAATAAAGTTGAGGGAGAAAAAGATGCGAGTATTTGGGAAGAAGTTATACATTGAGACAAATCCCAAAAACATATAAGAACCTGTTAAGTAAGTCTAACTGTAGTCACGTTTAGGTATTTGAAAAACATAAGGATTCTTTAAACAATTATTTATGGCATTTTTGCAATGTACATATATAAATATGTATTTATAAGTACATATTTGACTAATGACTGCTTAAAGTTTTTATGCATTTGCCTTTATACCTCGTTTAATATTGTAAATAGACACCCTATAAGACTTTTTCAATTAATTAGGCAAGGACTTATGTTCTTGTTCGGCATATGTATTATATATATGACTTAATAAAGCTTATATTACAACATGTCCCACATCAGCACTGGAGTCCATAGTGGGTCTCACCCCTCTGCATCTCTTTATTAAAAAGACAGCAGCTATGAGTGCAGCTAGGCTACACCCTGTCATCGACATGCACGGAAGTCTCGTCAGTCAAAACTCTATCTGCAGACTAGTTCCTGGCATAGAGATCTGCGATAGGACAGATCGCATGAACATGGAACTTCGCTTCGGTAGGAAGTTCGAAGTCCTCATACCCGATCGATTGGACTGGGTAAATGGCACTCCTGGATTTGAACCAAAAGTGATTTCGTGGTATACTGATGGCTCAAAAACCAAAGAAGGAGTTGGTGCTGGAATATTTGGTCCTAACACCAGAATCTCGCTCGCGCTGGGTATATGGCCCACTGTCTGCGCTCGTATCAGCATTAACAAAGGGTTGAAAGGCGCCCGAATCTGTATTTATTCAGATAGTCAAGCAGCAATCAAAGCGTTATGCTCCTGGAAGTTTTTCTCAAAGCTTCTAGCAGACTGTTATGACACACTGCAGCAGCTGGCAAGCAATAATAAAGTGACACTATGCTGGGTGCCTGGTCACACAGGAATTCATGGAAATGTGTCTGCCGATAGTCTTGCACGGGCAGGATCCGCCACTCTAATCTGTGGCCCAGAACCTTTCTGTGGATTAAGTTGGTCTACAACTAGGTCTCTAATCAATGATTGGATCTCAACCGAGAGAAGTCGCTACTGGCGCGACAGTCGAGGTAACCGTCAGGCTAAACAGCCTGAAATGAGTTCTCAAGAAAATTCAGAACAAGCACTACCCACAACTTCTACTAAAATAGTCAATAGATCAAAAAGTAAGTACGAATATTCAATGATTTCAAAATTTTGCATATTACCTTATGGAATTTTTTAGCAAAACGAAGGTTAAAAAATAAACGAAAAGCTCCTGTTGAAATGAAGACGGATGCCCTCAAAGGGTTCGTCATTTCAGATGACATTACTGGCTCAAACTCAAGTCCCGCTCTTGTTACAAAGACTAAAAATGACAATGAATCTGATTCTTCCAAACATAATACAGAAGAACCGCAGAATTAGTAGGAGTGAAATGGTGACAGAATTATAACAAATGATATGTGCTCAATGGAGGAACGGTTAATTCGAAAGTCGACAATTAGAGAACATCACATCTTCAACATCATACACATTTATTCCAACTCTCACCGCAAATTTAATCCATTGACAATGTCCGTTATATTTTCTGCAGGAGTGGAATACAATAGTAGCTAATTCTGATCACTAAACAGTCTATGTTTCAATATCTGGAAGAAAATGTATCAGATCACAGTTGCGGTGTTTAAGAGCATCTCGATATGGATTTTATAATTCATTCAAACAGAAAGTATACAATTAAATACACATTCCATTTTAATCATGTATGGCGGCAATAAAAATTATAGTAATTTCAATAGTTTATTTTATTTTTTAATACAATATAATAAAATGTGAATATGAAGACTTTCATATAACTTTCTCCATTTCAAATCATCAATCTTCATAAGATATGATATAATGTTATATTATGTTTCAATCGATGAGTAATTAGGTATCCTGGTTGTTTTTATTTTATTTTCTTCTCTGTAAGTTTGTGATGTCACCATCAACGGAAAATTATCCAATAGGTAAATGTATGGAGCTATATAAACTTTCTTTAACTTTAA